GGAAACATTTTGATCCACATGCAGCGAGAAGCACAGATCTTCAGTGGGATTGCGTGGGACTGGACAAATGCACACCTCTGTGTGAGCCAAAGCCCTACTAAGAACAGAGATTCATCATCACCCAGAGGAGTTCCCTCCTGCCCCTTTCCAGTCAATTCTCAATCCCCCACCGTGGGAGTGGGTTCTGATCCCCCCCCACCAAACATTAGCTTTGTCTGTTCTTGGCCTTCACGTAAGTGGATGGTGCAGCGTAGACTCTCGTGTCCGGCTGCTTCCCGCACCCGCCCGCGTGGCGGCAGCTGTCGGAGGCGCAGCCGCCCCGCTGTATGAGCACGTTACGGGGTGTTTCGCATTCTGCTTCCTGCCGCTGGGCGCCCGAGCTATTTCCAGTTTGGGGTTATTATGAATCCAGTTTCTATTGAACGTTTTAAGACAAATTTTTTTGTGAATAAATATTGTCACTTTTCTTGGATAGACTTGCTGGAGCACAGGGGAGGAGTATGATTATTTTATAAGAAACTGCCAGAACTTTTCCCAAAGTGGTTGTACCATTTAACACTTCTGCCTGCAGTGCAGGGGAGTTCTGGCTACTCCACTGCTGCACTGACATGTGGTGTGGTCAGTCTTAATAACTTCAGCCCCTCTACTGGGAGTGTCAGGCTATCTTTTTGTAGGGTATGTCCCTGGCTCCCGATGGCTCAGGAGGAAGTTTAGCTCTCAGCCTTAGCTCTGAGCCCCCCAAGGTCCAGCCCTTCTCTGTCCAACCTTGCCTTCTCCATCTCCCATTTAATTTTCCTACTCTATTGACCTTAGTTTTTAAAAAGTTGTCCTCTGCATGCAACAGGTCAGTTCATTTTTCTCTGCTTTTACATGGGCCGGCTTTTCAACCTGGAATGTGTTCCTGCCCTCACTTATCTGATGAGATCTCAATTTTTTTTAGGCTCATCTAAGATGTTACTTCCTCCAGGAAGCCTTCCTGTACATTTCACTGAGAGGAAATGATTCCCTCTTTAGTGCCATGTGGGTGCTTTCCAGCTATTTCTCCTGCAGCTCTGATCACCCTGTTGTGTAACTGTCTCACCCTCTAGACTGTGAACTCTGTGAGGGAAGACACTCATCTTACTCACCCAGCACCTATCATGTGGTCTGTACATAGTAGGAGCTTGGACTTCATTTAACAATAAACAGTTGCAGCAGTGGCAACTGGAATGACCACTGAAATTTGTTATGTGCTCATGTGTGCTGGGCCCTTGCGAAACACAGCAACTCCCTCACTAAATGGTGTTCACCACAACCCTACGAGGCAGAGCTATTGCCATCCTTGTGACAGATGAGGAAACTGAGGCTTGGAGAGGTGAAGCGGCTTGTTCCAGGAAACAGCCAGGACTTGTTAAAGCTGGGATGTGTCTCAGTGTCTTCCTACCGTTCAGATGTCTGCTCAGATGTCCCCTCCTTGGAGGGGTCGTCTTACATTTTCTTCCCGAACTTAAGTGGATCCCCCCTCCCCCTGGCTGACACATGAGGCAGATGTGCTCTGAATGGCTGGTCATTGTAGGTGACCCGCCTGCCTTCCTCCCTTCCTCTGCAGAGGACCCTGGGCTTATGGGGCCAGTGCCTGCCCCCTCGTGGTCCAGAGGGTTCATAGTTACAGTGAGAACAGCAGTCTTCACTCCCCCTGGTGGATCAACTCCTGCTCACTGAACATTTCTGATATTTGCCCCGAGTGTTCATTGGAGTCCTTAGTGGCCTCTGTAGAATACGAGAGGAAATGCTACTGGACGAGCCAGGCTCGCAGGGTCCGGGATGATGTATTTATTGACTAATAACCCCCAGATTGTTGCAAGTCTTTGGTTAATTTCAAGAGTTCTGGACAAGTTGGTTCTGACAATTTTTTGGTGTTGTCATTTTTCTCATTGCTTTCATGTAGGAGAGAATTTTCAGAGGTCTTTAATCTGCCATTTTCACTGACATCCTTTTAGAGAGTTTTTTAAAATGTTAAAATGTTGTGACTATTTAAAAGTCATAAATGTGTTTGCATCATCTGCCACCTGTCAGACTGTTTTGTATCCAGGGAGTCTTAAGCTAGTTAGGAATTGAAGTTGTCAGGGTAGGGGAAATGCCCATCTGTGAGCTTCAGGAAGAAGGCCAGGGAACAGTGGGAAAGTGGTTTATAGATGGGCAGTGGACCTGTGTCCAGGCAGGAATGCAGTTTGGTGCCATGGCCAGGGGACAGCAGGACCAATTCTGATGGTCCCAGATGTGTGTGCCTGTCTTTATCCACCTTGATCTTTGGAGCCTCAGCCAAGGAGGACTCTCAGGCTTGACCTAATGCCTCCCCCAAAAGGTCATGAAAGAAGCTAATGCCTGCTCCCCTCCTAGCACAATCAGGTCCTAATGGCTGGTTCCCATTCAGAAAGGTCATCTGTACTTCAGGTCACCAACTAGATAGACATTCACAATGATCATGCAGCTGTTTATGGAATTTAACTGCCCATCCTGAGCTCAAAGATCTCGTATTTCTGTGAGTGTGGAAGATGCTTCCTCCCTTAAGTCCTCAACAGGAGAAACACTCTGGTTTCTTACAATTAACTTTCTTGCAGTTCTGAACTCTGAACTCTGGGACTGTCCTCCCACAATGTCATGTTGGCTGGTGGCAATAGTAGGTGCAGACAGTGGTGAATCTGGACATGATGACAAATATTTGGCAGGGGTTGAGAAACACCAACTTGAATCTGCTCATTTTCACAAGGTCAATGGGTCTCCCAAAGAGCAAGGGACAAGATTTTCTGTGAAGTCAGGGATGTTTCAGCCCTTGATTTGCCTTTTTGTCACTCTGTGACCCTGTGCAAGTCATTCACATATCTCCCAAAGCTCAATACCCTCATGTGTGGAGTGAAAGGGTTGGTTTAATCCTATAAGGATCTCAAACAATGATAGCATATTTATTTTTTGTTTGAAGGGACAACCTTCCCCATCCTGGATATCCTGTTCTTGATTCTTCTTGCATTCAGTTTTTCATAAATCTTACCTGTGTAAACAATCTCAACATCCTCAGTCCCTTCCTCTTCTTAGTGCCTCTAAACCAGTCTTCTTCTTCCAAAACTATGACTCTCACCCAAGGCATCAACAATCTTTTCATATGCAACTCCAGTGACCCTTCTCTAGTCCTACCTTTCTCAAGCCTTTCAGCAATGAACACTTTGAATCAGCCTGCAATCTATGTATGTGCCCTGGCTGGGTATCGAACCCATAACCTTTTGGTGTGCGGGACAATGCTCCTATCAACCAGGCCACTCGGCCAGGGCCTTACACTTCCTTTTTGTCATCTTTCTCTTTCTGTTGCTGTGAGAACAGAAAAGAGGCCAGTATGACTGGATGCAAATAAGCAAAGAGGAGTGAGTGGTAGTTGACTTGTGTATCCATCAGCTTCCTGGACTTTCTCTTGTGATCTCCCAGGCACTTCTGTGCGAGTGCCACAGTGAAGGGCACACTCTTCTTGCTGGAATCAACTCATCCTCCCACATTTCCAGTTACCTTTGGGCTCCCCAACCTGAGACTTAGACGGGAGCCTCACCTGCTTCCTCATCTATACCCGTCCAGGTCCCATTCCTGAACATCTCTCAAGCCTGCCATTTTTACTTCTTGTAACTTTGTGTATCATCATCACCTCTGCCTGGAGCGTTGCGTCTACCCCCAACATCCCGTCCACCCATTCTAAGAACCCCAGAGTGGTCAGTCTGAAACCCACATTCATCTGAACATCTCCTGGTTCTGCTGAAGACCAGTAAGATCTCTGATGTAAGGTCCAAACTCTGTTCTATGGCTCCGGCCTCCCAGGCCAGGGCTCTTTCCAACCTATAAGCCCTCAAGTGATAGTGAAGAATGACAAGGCCCCCTGTGCAGACAAAGAGTAATTTTATTTGGTGAGAAACATGGAATGTAGTGGAAAAGGAGGGGGGGCAGCTTCCTTGGAGAGAAGGCTGCTCTGATCCCCAAACGGTGTCCAGGATATTAGAGAACCTTCTGTGAGTCCTCGGAAGCTGGGCAGGGAGCGGATGGAGCAGCAGGAAATGGTTCTGTTGGGAGAAGACCCTAATCAGAATGAGGACTTGAGGTCACTGACTCTTGTTGGTATGGGTCCATCATCAAACCCTCCAGAGAGCGGGTAGGAGGCTGAGACCCTGGGGCTCAGGGTCTTGTCTCAGCCACAAGGGGAACCCAGACCTATGGCCAGGGGGCTCCTTGTGCACATGTTCGCGTGAGTGTGTTTCTGTGTACCATGAGCACTTATGTGAGGGGAGTTTGCATATGTGTGTGCATATGTGAGTGTGCTGGTGTGAGAGTGCATGTCTCTGTCTGTCTGTCTGTTTGGGTGTGTGTGCAGTCATGACCACGTGTGTTGGTTTGTGACTGTGTTGCTCTGCCTCCTGTGTCTCTCGACCTCTGTCAGCGTTTCTGTGGACTTTTCTGTGCACATCTGTGCTTCTCAATGTGGCCTTTTGTCTCTTTGGATGTCACTGTCACAGCCTCATGCTACCCCTACCAGGGGAAGAACAGTCGCCCCCCAATCCTGGGAAGTTGGGAGCAGCACTCACAGCTCAGTAGAGGCTGGATTCCTTTCTGGAAGGTTTAGACCTTGAAGACAAATTCCGTCCCATAGATCGGTGCTTCTGGAAAATGGAAAAACAACCCCTGCAGACCTGAGTGATGGTCTCAGTGTGAAGGAGCCTGGGATTTCCCACATTCCTCCCAAGGCCTGGGACCAGGGAAAGGGAACTCTGGAGGATCTCTCTGACTTGGCAGGGGCAGTGCCTCCTTCCACCAACTAGCCCAGTTGTTCTCTGTGTCAGGATTGGTGAAGGGAGACAGGGTCTATACCTCAACATTATCTGGATAATTCAAGGCACCCCCTCCCCCGCCAAATGGAGAGAGTTGAGGCTGGAGGGATCTATCTGTCCCATGGTGTGCAGGGACAGAGCTCCTTGGGGCAAGCACTGCTCCTACAGAGGGGGAGAGAGGGCTCGAAGCAGGTACTCACCGACTAAGTCATGCACCAGAGTCATGTCCAAGTTCTTGAGAATGTCATTGACCAAAGGGCACACCTGGTCCAGGGGCAGAGAGGGGAGTTAGACAAAGTGGTACCTGGAGGGAGACCCTGGGAACAGCATCATTTTAGGATGGATTCTCTGGGGGAGAGTCTCTATCATTTCTCTGTGCCTGAGAGTGCTTGCTTCCAAGCATTGTCACAGACAAATGCTCACACTTCCATTGGGCAGAAGGAGAAACTGAAGGCCTGTGTGTGAAGTGCCCACCACAAGCGAGTCAGTGTTCACTCTGTGACGTGTTCACTCTAACAAGGTGGACTGCTCTGAGAGGCTGCATTTCTGGTTAGAGGCACCCAAGCATGGGCTGGAAGAGTGCTTGTTTGCAGCTGTAGCTGGGGTGGGGTGGGAGCTTCTCTGAGTGGGGCCAATCCATTTCAGCTGTAGTGTGGACATGCCCAGGGTCTGGCCCAGAGCAAGAACCAATCAGTGCATTTGAAGGATGGAAAGAAGAAATGTGGAAAGATGGAGCAATGGACAAATAGACATGGATGGAATTTACTTATCAAACTGAGGGACTCAGAATAGCTCACCGCAGGGGCCTCTTTCAGCTTGAGAAGTTCTCAGACCCAGGGGGTAGGAGCCCGCACTTTTACCCACTTACATTTTTCTGCACCAGCATAGGAAGGACTTTAGTCAAGATCCCTCTGAGGTTACCAATAAGGTTATGAATGGGGAGGGAGCCGACTCTGAAAGAGAAAAGTCACGGGGCAGTGCAGAGGCCTGGGGTTGGTATGGAGAAGCTGTCAGACTGGCCAGTGGGCCCAGCACAGTCCCAACATTACATCACTGAAACTGGGTCTTGTCTACCTACACCCCCATGCAGGCAAACACCAAGGGGCCTGTTCGAGGGGAAGTACAGTCCAAGTTCACCCAGGGAGCCCTCCATCTCTTCCCATGCCCTCTAGTAGAGGGGGCTTGAACTCAGATTTCTTGTTGCCTGATCCAGCATAAAACTGGTCAGCCCAGCTTAAGAAGGCATAAATCACTATTTACCCATCCATTTACTTATCCATCCACCTGTCCATCCCTCCCTCTTCCCTCCCTATCAGTCTTCTCATCCTTTCATTCTCTCACCCTTCCATCCTCCCAGTCACCCATTCTCCCCTTGTTCTGTCTTTCCAACCATCTATCCATCACCCCATCCTATTGTCTCTGGGCAGGTGAAGCCATCCCCCTGGTCTTACCCATTAAGCAGGGAGATTTCCAGGCTGCCAGGGGAGTGAGTGCAGTCGCCAAGAACCAAGTGGATCTCCCCCTGTTTATTTCTCACAGCTAAGATTTCTGCAGTGATGTTTAGCTGCAAATCCAGCTTTAATAGACTTCCTCCGAGCAGGAGCCTGCAGAGGAGATAGTAGCCCTACTACATTCCAATGTCAGCCTCACCTCACCCCGTCTTGCCCATAGCTGTGCTCATCTCATTTCCCGGTAGGGGCAACCAAAGCTCAAAGAGGTCAAGTGAGTTTCCCAAGTGACTCCAGGCCACAGCGCATAGCAGCAAAAAACTGAACTTGGAGGCGTATGTCTGTTAGACTCCAACGCCCCCTTTTTGGCTACCTGTGGTCATCAGGGTCTCCTTTGGTGAACCCCCCCCTTTTGAGGCCCACTCACGTTTTCACATTGAGGTCAAAGGCCAGAGGGATGTTGACGTAGAGACGATGGCCATCAGGGCTCGGCACAAAGCCAAGTTCCAGCAGCTGGGGATTAGTGATCTCTAGACTGCCCAGGAGGTTAAGGGAGAAACATTAGCTCTTCTAGCCCCAAAGCTAGAAACCACCTTTCACTCAATTGTTCTTATTTTGGAGGTGGAGCTACCCATGAAGTGGAATGGGGGAGAGAGGAGGGGAGTCTTGCAGCAAAACCACGAGTTCCGAGTTGCATCAGCCTTCCCGCCGCCGCACTGGGCAGATCCTGACTCACCCATGGCCTTCTCCTGGGGTCTGTGAGGCACTCTAGGATAGAGACTGAGGTATATTTGCATTTTGTCTGGATTGTATTTGCGTTCTGTAAGCCAGTCCAGAGCCTTACAAAGAAAGGGGCTGCTCCATATTGGTTGACTGTGTGGGTTGCTGAGCAGGTGAGCAGATGAACATGTGAATGGACGCGTGGAAGAGTGAGTCTTTTGATGGGAGGAAGGAGGGGCACATGGGTGGGCGGATGGGCAAGTAGACTAAGTTTTTAACAACATTTATGGGTAGGAGTCACTCATCCTGCCATGACTTTCGGTGGCAGGTTAATTAACAGTGTTTATCATGGAGGCCGAGGCGCAGGAGGTCAGGGAGGATGAAGAGAAGATGGAAGGAAGCCTCTTCTCTGAGCCAGCCATTGCGCCAGGTGATTGCATCTTTTCCAGTCCCCACAACAGTTTTTCTCTGTGGTTACCGTAATACTTATTTTATAGATAGAAACTGAGAGGGACTGAGAAACCTAGAGGGACTGAGTGCCTGGTCCCAGGTCACCCAGCAAGTACACAGTGCATTTGGAAATCAAACTCAAGGCTGTCTGTCTGTCTTTAAGCCAGAGGCCAGAGCCTGGGTCGGTAGGGATCTTGGAAATGGCTTTAATCCAGCCCTATCAAGAACCCAGGCTCTGCCAGCTCATTGCATTAACTTTCCATTATTCCTTCTTGTTTAGGGAGCTCTCAGACGTCTCATGGGAAACACCATATGAGATCATTCCATGGACATCACATTGATGATGTAATTGAGGAGAGCTGTTTACACTTTCTTGCTTACATAAAAGGCCACCTCTGTTCTAAGGGATTCCAAGATTACTACTGTGCAGTCGGAAAACCTTGACTTTGGAATGAACTAAATTACATTTAGATCCATCCCTGTGTATCACTCTAGTGATGTGAGCAAACAACTTTCTGTGCTTCAGTTTTTCCATCTGCAAAGTGGGGATTATTAAATCAACTTCAGAGCGTTGTGATGAGGATTACAGATGATGCTGGGGACTCAGAATATGCTTCAGGACTGAGGGCAATTGCTGGTTCAAGAGGACTGATGTTCCCTGCCAGACAGTGAGAAGGGTCTCAGACAGAGTCCAGGCCTCATGTTCAGACCACCCCTTCCATCCTTCAGGGCCACTGCCTGGGGTGAACAGATATCCAATGGGGGTTCTCTTGTGGGGACCAAAGCCCTACTTTAGGGCTACTCACTCAATGATGCCCAGGGAAGAAATCCCTGAAGTCACTCTCCCAAGAAGGCCGCCAATCAGGCCACCAGAAGTGCCTCCTTTAGTCTTCAGGATGTCCGATAGGGGAAGGTTTTTGAGAGTACCCAACAGATTCCCAGAGAGCAGGCCATTGCTGAGAGCTGGAAATGGGCATAAGGGTTCTTAGGAGTCAGATTTGACAATTTCAGATCCTCAGCCCTCTTCCCGTTCATCCCTGCCCTCTCGCTCCCCCCCCCATAGCTGCGCGAACACACATACCCCCCCCACCTGACCGAGGTTGCCACAGACTCTCACTTACTACTCATCAATGTTCCAGCAAGATCTGTGGGACTTGAGGCCAGGTCCGGAGTCAGAGCCAAGGGCAGGGTCTGGTCCAGGGTCAGGGGTGGGGTTTGCAGCAGGGCTGTGGTCTGGGCCAGCAACCCACAGAAGACAATGAGGCTCCCAATAGGAACCATCTTCTCTCCTTGGTGTCTGTGGACAGAATGACAGGCCCACTCTGGCACATATACCGGAGAGGAATTTACCCACAGCCCCGGCCCTCAGAACACCAGGGAGAGACTAGCAATAGCTAACACCACTCAGAACTTCCTGTGCCAGGCATCAGGCTGAGCTCTCCACACTCAGCCTCTGTTTTCATCTTAGCCATATCCTCAGATGTGGCACGAACATCTGCATGGCCCAGGTCAGGAAACCGGGTGAGTTTAGGTAACTTCCCCCAAGGTCATGAGTATACATGAGGACAGGATTTGGAGCCAGGTCTGTCTGTTTAAATTAAGTGCCCATCAGATTGATTCCATAATTGGGCTTGCTTGCAATGGCTTGAATCATTGCCCCTAGTTCCTACTCTTTAGACAAAGCAAATGAAAAACTTAAACATGCTAGTGGCTGAGGAACCGAACTGCTTTGTCACCATCCCCATTAAGCCTCTTGGTCTGGGTTCAGCCTGCAATTGGAAGTAGGTCTCTGAACCTGCCCCCACACTCCCATGCAAATATACACACACTCTTTTCTATGCCTTTTTCTTTTCGCTCAAGCTGACCTGGATAAACTTTTGGGAACCCCTGACATCTGGCTGCCTTTTGCACCAGTCTCCTCCTAGAGATCACCAACCCTCACAGGCTTATTTCACAGCTGGCAAAGGTGTCTAAAGCTGGAGCTGGTACCGATACTTTGGAGACACTTGGCTAGTTGGGGCAAAATTCCATCAACTGGCCCGTTTGGCCAAAGCACCATCATCGCTGTGGCTGACTGAAATTGAAAAAACTTTTCGGTCCAAAGAGCCCGTTGTGGCCTCACTGGGGATCAGGCCAGGCCCTCTGAATCTCTTTTGGGAAACAGATCTTTTATGAATCCACTGGAAGCCAAGGACCCTACTCCCAGAAAAAAAATGCATCAAATTGGGTGGATTTTAGGAGGTTTGTGGATGATGGTCTGAATTCACAATGGCAACCTCAAGTTGAAACTCAAGATTTTGACCTAGGGTGTGAGAGAATTTTAGCACAGTACACCTGCAGCCCCATGCCTCCCATCACCATCGGATTCCCTTTCCTACCTTTCTACATCCAATTTCTTCTATATTGACATTACTGGTTTCCTAGGGAAGCAGAGTGACTGGCCACCCACATCCCCCTGAAAATGGTCAGCCTTGTTTCTTTTAGAAGACCCCCAGTGGGTGATCCTAAGTGCAGTCAGCCAGGGCCCACCCCACAGCCAGGAGCCCGGCACCCCTGCCACCCAGGGCTGTAGAACTGGAGCAGAACGGGCAGGTCTCACCTGGGCTTCTCAGAGGTTCTGGTGACTGTCCTGGTCTCCTCGCCTCTCTCCTGCTTGCTTCTGCCCAGGAGGCAGCCTCTTTTATAGCGTGGCAATAAGGAAACGTGCAATCGGATGATGAATTTCTAGAGAATTCAAAATTCTGCAATCCGGTGGTATCTTTCAGGGCTCTCCAAAGTAAATAATTGCCAATCACATTAGTAAGTGAGACAGTTAAGCCATTTGATCGACAAGTTAAACAGAGGAAAACCTGAGATGGGGCTGTTACTCAAGACTTCATGGTTTCATGAGCGGGGCTGAGGCTGGGACCCATGTTCCGAGGTGGCCTGGAAGGTCAAATTGGGACCACAGGGAGAAGGCAGCCCGCGGAGCCCAGGAAGAGGCCTCATGCTCCTATCTCGGCCCCTTTCCATTCCTGGTTCAGTTCTTCTCCTCCAGTTAGGGGTCCCTTGCTCCAAAGTGTTAAGAGCAGCCGAATTGCCTCCGGTTTCCTTTAATCTGTGGGCTCTCCATTCCCCCCATAACCCTGGGAGGGAGGGGCTGCTGCTTCTCCTTTGCAGAGGAGGAAACTGAGGCCCACTGGGGATAAGTCCCAAAGACACAGGCTCATTGGAAATAATAAAAACGGTGTCACCAGATAACACTTGCGGAGCCCTTGCTGATGCCAGGACCACATGGTGTTTCACAGGAAGCGTCTCATGAGTCCTCACAGCTTGTGTGAGGTGGGAATGAACACTCCCATTTTTCACAGGGGAAACTGAGGCTGATTGTGACTTGAACTTCAGTTTTCTCCTCTTTAAAATGAGGGCATAATATCTACGTAGCAGGGCTGTGGGGGATCATGTCTGGAGAGCTGGTAGGCCCTTAGTTCACAAGCTCATGTGTCTGTAGTTTCCTTTCTAATGTATCTGTAGTTTAGTCACCATTTCAAAAGCCATTTGCTGGGTAACAAAAACTTCCCTGTTTCCCTTGGGTTTTATTTCTGTTTCAGAGTCTTCATTTGTGCCACGGCATCTAGAGGAGGCTACCCTGTCCCTGTTTTGACAGGAAATACAGAGATATCCTTGTGCCATCTTGGCCCCTTGATTGCTGAGACACTGTGTGTCCCTCCTGGCCAAGAGACCCCTTTGGATGTAACATTTACTTCTGACTCCCTTGTTAGACACCCCAAATGGTTCTGCTGTTTCTTGATTCCTTGGGCCTCAGGCAGGACCATGGGGGGCTACCCTGGCCCATCTGCTTGGACCCACCTAAACCCTCTGCTTACCTTTCTTTCCCTGGGGTCTTGTCATCTCCCCTGGCTCTGGAAGGGTCATGAGCACAGATGTCCTCTGTTCTTGAATCCTGCACATCAACTTGGGGCATTTCTTGCCTATGACAAGTCTTGCCTGGGGAGTAGCAAGGGCACAAGACGCTTTCCAGAACCCACCAGAACTACGTTCTCCTCAATTTCTCTTGGGCTCTCACAGTCCACCAATACAACATAGGGACTCTTCTAGTATTAGGGAAGGAAATCTTGCTTTAATTCATTATATATGTGCTATTCTTAAAGTCTCCTAGGCCCTGAGTTTTGAAATAGAAAAACCCAGGCTTAAGAAAATAGAAAAAAATTAACCCACAGTAAAATTGCCTTTTTATCCTTTGGTGCATAGTTCTATCAACTTTAATGCACATGTAGTTTTGTCACTACAGTTATAACCAGGAAACAGAACAGTTCATCACCCCCCAAACACCCCCATGCTTCCCTTTTAGAGTCACCCCCATCCCCACCCTCTGGTGAGTACTGATCTGTCTTCTGTCACTACTGTTTTGTCAAAGACCCGGGGACTGGAAACCGAAGCCTTCTCCCTGCTCCTGGAGTTGCTCCCCCTTGAAGCCACAGGTGCTGCCTGTTCCACTGCCCCAAGCAGGGCAAGGGTTGGGGGCGGCAGGAAGCGTGGAAGGACACGCTGCTGACATTTCGAGTATTTTCCACGTTGGTGACGTCAATGCCTTCCCAAGCTGTTTATCGGAAACTATAGGTGGTTCCCTTTCTTCCTACGTATCTGATTGTGATTGTGGTTGGGGGCCTTTATTGGTGATGTTTTTGTGAACCAAGAGGTCCCTTTTTAAAGGGCAGAGTTAATCTTTGCAAGGGGCTCTGACCTACCCGAGGCCTATTCTCCAGAACCACGGAGTGGGACGCTGGTTCTGTTCCTGGAGCAAGGTCAGGTGGGGCTGAGGTTGAGGGAGATCTTCAGATGGCCTTGGAGGCCCCAGTGGCTTTGTTGAGGGGCAGAGGGCAAAAGGGTCACAGAGAGATAGGCGCCCCAACTTGATGAGAAAATGCATTTTTGCTTAAGGCAGGTTCCACTTATCTTGGAGATTAATCTTTCCTCCATTTACAGCTAATAATAATAAAAGCTTTTCAGGGGACACTAAAGCTTTAGACCATTTCTAACAACCCTGTGGGGATGCTGAGGCTCCGGGAGGACAGTCAACTGCCCAGGGCCACCTCCGCTAGGAAGAAGTGAACTCACACTGTCATCGGGCCTGTCTGGCTTTAGCGCTCAGAGCTTTAAGAGCAAGTTTGTGTCACAGTCTTCAGTTTAGAAAGTGCTGAGAATCAGACAGGGCTGAGTTGCAGACTCGGCTCAGCCAGTGACTCTGGGCAAGATGCTTCTTCTCTTCCAGCTTCAGTTTCCTCACCTGCAACAGGGAGCCGGCGGCACCTACCTGCCGGGGCTGCGGAGAGGGTTGACTGGGGAGACAAATAGCGCGCAGCCCAGTGCCTGGCAGAGCCGGACTCTGTAATGCAGGGGCTTAAGTCATAGGACATAGGAAGTTCCTCAGCATTTGGGCTGAATTTCTGCTTAAATCACCCCAACCCCAGACCGCAGTCTCATAACAGAGGTCCACTGTGCACCGAGCTCTTCTGAAGAAAACACAATGTGCCCACAGCTCCGTGAACCTTAAAATGAAAACTGCGCAAGAAACCCGTGGAGGCCGCTTGAGGAAGGTGGTCCTGGAGCCAGCCCTGGAGGGGTCAGGAGGGCGGCAGACAAAAGCCGCCTTCGTCAAGGGACCAGGCAGCCTCGGTGGAGGATGGGGCCCAGCCCCCCCCCATGTTTGCTCTTTGAATCAGGAGCAGGAAGAATCCCACAGCCTCGAGGCCCAGGCCTTCAAGGGGAATCAGCGTGGGAACATGGGCGTTTAGGGTTGCAAATCCCCGCTGAAGCATTTCGGATTAGGGAGTCTGAATTGAAAGTTGGGGACATGAGTCTCTCTTGCCCTATTCTGGTCTCTGAGATGTTGACACTTCCTTGTTTGAGCTTCTCAATCCAGCTGAACGCATATTTCATCACATTCCTCCGTCTGTGTGTGTGTGTGTGTGTGTGTGTGTGTTTGGGGTGGTGGTGTTGGGAGGGAAGATTGGAGGGGGGAATTCACAGCAGTCAAGAGTGTGGGCTCCAGAGTCTGGGCTACCTGAGTGCAGTCGACGTGGTCATTTCATTGCTGTGTGACCTTGGGCAAGTGTCTCTCTCTCTCCGAGCCTTTGTGTCCTTATGGGTAAAATAGGATAGTACTTCATGGGGCTGTTTTGAGGATTTGGTGAGATGCTTAATGTGAGCTTCTGGCGCCCAGGGCTTAACATGAGTGTGGGACTATTATTAAGACATGTGTGTGACTTCCCCTTGATTTCTCAGTAGGTCTTCCCTAC